ACTGGCAGAGGGAAATAATCACTTTTCACAGGCCTCTTATCCACAGCCAAGCCCTGCACTGGTTTAATCAGCAGTGCCTGCCTGACTTGAAGATTCTCTCGTCTTGAGAGATCAGGAAAGGGGTTAAAGAAAATTACCCTGGCCTCCTCCATGCTAATGTAATCTCTAACCAGATCTGCCTAGCCGCAGCTCAAATTGCTTTTTAGATTAACATTTAATTATTAACAGGGTCCCCTGGAAGGCCTCCGGCTCTAGAACAGGGTTGGGGGAGGGAGCTGCAGGAGGGAGGAGGGGTGGGCTTCTGCTCAGCTGCCTCTCCCAAGACTGTGCTGGGGAGGGGGTGAGAGGAGGGAAGGGGGAAAGGGTCAGACAGGGCGAAAGAAAGAGACTGGAGGGTAGTTAGGGACAGGGATGGACATGAAGAGAGGAGGGGAAGGACAAACATGGACCCTCCTGGGTTGGGAGCGCTGGGGGGATGGGGGATGGAGGAACTATGTACTCAGATTCCCAGTGACCTTTCTGAGCAAAGTGCTTGCACCCTTCCATTCTGGCCACAGGCCAGCCTGCTATGGCACCTCAGTGGAGAGGACCGAGCTTTCCGAGACTTAACGCTGCCTTGGCCTATGGTGGTACTATGGTGGTCACCAAAGAGGTGACCAGGTCAGGTCTATACAGCCAAAATCTGACACCCCCGGTCCAGCACCCATTTTCTTCCCTGAGCCTGAGCCTCCTACCAGTTGAGGCTTTTCCCTGCATCTGGCCACAGCTGTGTGGCTAGAGCAGCCTGAGGAAAAGGAGACTTGGGTGATCACCAAGAACATGGAGGGGTGAAGATCGGTGTTGGTGGGGGAGCCTTCAGCGTCCTGGGCAGGAGCGATGGCAGCTGCAGAGTCCTAACTGTCCATTGCACTTGGACTGAACTGCCGGGGTGCTCCAGCCTCCTATCTGGTTCCTACACAGGATCCCAAGTTCTTCAAATAAGACTTCTAGACTACGTTTCTGTAGTCGTGCGTGCGCACCCAGCCCTCAGCTTTGCACACAGTGGATACCGTGGATCTTGTCAATAACATCTCACTTGTCCAGGCCGGATGGCTTCAGCCACTCAGCCGGCTCACTCCCCATCAAATTAGGTAGGAAAATGAAGGCTCAGAGAGGTGCTGTGACCTCTTCTGTGTCACTCAGCCTTGATCCCCAGCCACCACCAGGCCAGTGAAACTCTGAGTCTCGGGCTTGCTCTACTCTGTGAACTCCTAGTCCTGTTGGAGTCTGGGAAGGGCTTGGCAGGATCTCCCACAGCCAGTCATTGGTCTTGAGCAGAGACACAGAAGGAAGGCACAGAGGCTGGAGTCGCTCGCTGCTCCAGGGACAGCAGGAGGATGAGGGCGGGAAGTGTAGCGGCGTAGCCCGTGGCCTTCATGGGGTTCAGCTCTGCCCTGCCAGGAAATCCAAGTGTGTCTGGCCCTGGCCGAGTGCTGACTATAGAGGCAAGGTTCTCCCTACCCCTGCAGGATAGATGTACAGGGTGGGGGAAGAAGGGAGGATCCAGAAAAAGCTCTTTGTAGCTTGGGCTGAATGTTCTGGTTGGATGTTGCCTGGGTGCCTTGTGCCAGGACATTCTTTCCTGTTTCCATGCTCCCATACATGGCTCAGAGTTGAGGGAGTGTTTGCTAGCTGAATGGATGGATGAATGAATTCAAGAGTGAATGAGTGAGTGAGGAAGTGAATGAGTGTGTAAGAGGCAAGGCCTGGGCTTTACTCATCTCAGCATTGTTCTGCCTGACACGCGCCTTCTGCACTGTGCTCTGTTGAATGGTTGTAGGATGAGTGAGGGGCCTCCTGGGAGCCTCTGCCCTCTCTTCCGTCTTCTCATCTCCTCCCGGCCCCGCCTGGAGTGGAATCAAAGTGCACTGGAGAGAAATACTGCCCCCCCCTTCCCAGCCAACTACAGCTGGGAACTGAGCCCCCACCCCCACCCCCCGAATTACAATTCAGGGTCAGGCCAGTATCGACACCCATGGGCCCTGCCATCTAAAATCCATGTGACCTCGTACAAATCACCCTCCTCCCTGTCCATGGAATGGAGTTCAAGACAGAATCCAGTAGCGGCTGCTAGGAGGATGCGCGGGGCGTGATGGAGGGATGCGAGTGGAGCTGGGCAGAGGGGACAGACCGTCCGTAAACACGTGCTGCTCTAAGAACAGCTTAGTGCTAAGCTGCACACTGCTGCTTTCCAAGCTCCCCACCGGCCGGGGGCTCCTCAGTGCCCTCGGCAGCCAGACCAGCAGGGAGAGATGACAAAAGGCAGGCAGGGCCAAAGGCCCTTTCCCTGTTCTTTTAATAAGAATAAAGCCAGCTCTCCGACATCCTTCTGGTGCTCAGCGCCTGCCAAGGCAAGCAGCAGCCCCAATTCCTCCTCGGACTTGGAAAGTTCCTTCCTTCTTTCCCCTCCCCTTGTCACATTCCTTTTATCTGAATGCTCAGCTATGAAAGGGCATATCGACAGCTGGGGGGCATTATCTGGTAGAGGGGACCTTTTCCTGGGGTTTCTGAGAGATAAGGCGTCTTATCAACCCTCCCGTCAGGGACTGTGCCAAAGCATTCTAATCATTGAGGCTTGCGGCATTTTTTCCTTCCAGTCCCTCCCCCCACACTTTATTATTAAAGTCACAGAAGACCTTGAGCTTATAAACAGTCTGATTTGCAGATAAGGTTTCAAAATGAGCTGTGGCTCTTGCAGTGGTCCCTGGTTGGGTCAGAGAAGTGCGAGGAGTCCATCTGGGGATCCTGTGGAACTGGCCTTCTGCTGGCCAGATGGCTCTGACAGAGGAGCCAGGGTGGGAATCCTGGGTGGATGATGAGTGTTTTTGGTGTTCCCTGCAGCCCTGTTCCTGGCTTGCTGTGTGACCTTGTGCAGAATGTTTGCCTCCGCTAGGCCTTATTTGCTTCATCTGACAATAACCAATTCATTGATGCAGCCTTTCATCCAGTGCCTATTTATTAAGTGACTGTTCTTTGCCAACATTGGAGAGAGAGAAATAAGATATGGTCCTCACCTCTAAGAAATGTATAGTCCAGAGGGAAGAGGCAGACATGGAAATTGGCAGTCACAATGTTATAAGCAGGGCTTGTGATGGGGATACTGAGTCCAGCTTGAAGAGGGATCTTGCTGGGCAGCACTACGAGCGGGGAGCAGGGGATTTCACAGCACATGCAAAGGGTTGGAGGCTTGAGGCAGCTGGCAGAGGAAGGGCCACAGGAAGCAATTATGAGATGAGGGGTAGGACCTCCAGGCAAAGGCTCAGAAGGTTGGGTTCTGTTTTGAGGCCAGAAAGGAGGTCAAGGACAGAGCCTAGTATGTTTTGTTTGTAGGTGATGGGCATAATCTGGGAACCGAGGGAGGGGCGGGTCCACTCTCCATTGGTGTGTGGCAGCCCCTGCCACATGCTAGACCCCTGCCCCACCCCCAGCTGCATCCAGTGGCAGGACATGGGGTCCTAGAAGGCTGGGCAGGGAGCTAGGGGAATTGGAGGGTAAAGAAAGAAAACTCACTCCTCTCCCAGTGCAGACAGTCTCAGGCTACAGGGCAGTTTTGACCTCCTGCTTTCCAGAGGTGAGGAACAGAACAATCTAGGTAGGCTGTCCTGGAGAAGCTGAGCGGAGGCCTTGCCTTGGACACTATCTCCTCCGAAAACCCTGCTGTCCTGAGCTCAATCAGGTGGCTCCCTTGGCTCCCAGATGACCTGGGTACCTGAATTAGAGACCAGACCCCTGGGGAGGCAGCTCGGGGACTTGACAGGGCTCCAGCGCCGGCAGCCTGCCCTCTCCCAACACCAGGTCCAAGCGTGGCAGGATGGGTGGCGATCGGGAACTGGAGCCCTGGAGATAGGCTGGACTTCTGGCTCCCTGCACCTGCTGAAGGTGGGGGTGGGGGTCAGAGGGATCTTGGAATGACTTCCATAGGCCAGAGAGGGGAAGTCTGCCTCCCCCTAAGGTCATGCTGGAAGGGGGCGGCTCAGTCTCAAGCCTAAGATGCCCCTGTGACCTCCCTCTTACCTCCTGGCCACTGCCTACTGGGGCCCCAGGCACACCATCACCTCCTCTGGCCTAGCTATTCACCTGTGGAGGGAAGGGGCATGCAGCTCTCCCCCACCCCCCATATCAGGGTGACAAGAAGAGGACTCTGCTCTGGAACAGATGGGGGGGGGGGAGGCAGGGCCAGGGGAGCCTGGGCACGAACCTCTCACCTCGCAGCGCGTACCAGTTACGAGGCCCTGAACACTGTGTGTGCATGCGAGGGGGCAGCCGGCACAAGTGTGCCACAGGTGTATACCACACATCCTGAGCGTGTGCTGGCAGGGTGTCGGAGTGGAGGGAGCCCACGTGCTCCGCTGTGGCCGACCTCCAGGGATGTGGTGGCACCAGCCTGAGCCCAACCTGCCCCCCGCCCCCCCCCCCCCCCCCCCCCGCTCCCATCCCAGGCCCCCCAGGAGCCGCACCGCATTCTGAAGTCAAGGGCTTGCATCCTTGTTGTAAGCCCCACTTCACTCCCTCCTTAAACTGTATAATTTCTGCCTGATTGTAATGGCATATTTTAAAATTGCCAGAAATCAGAGCTGGGAAGTGGATACTGCAGCGTTTATCACCTCGCTGTGTTAAGGCTGGCGACTGGGGGGAGGGGAAGAGAATCACCCACCCTCCCCCACATCCATTCCCCTTCCCTCTCTCACTCTCTCTCTTTTTTGAGACAGTAATAGGAGAAAATTGGTTTTGAAACTGAATAAAAGTCCCTTTCAGAGGAAATCATTTCTTTCAGGGTACCTTTGCTGAAAGTAAAATAGAGCATAATGAAAGGTGGTTACGTGATTGTCTTTCATTTACTGAGAGACCAGGACAGACGGGAGGCTGCCGCCATCTCTGGGAAATACAAGATTGGAATAATTGCACCGTAACAAGGAGCTTGTTGTGAAATTAGTATCTTAAGAAAGTAGTGAAAAAAGGCTTTTCCTCATGAATACTTCATTATTAGAAGAAAGCGGCAGGATTCAGAGCTCCAGACACCTGTTTAGTATTGAATAACTTCCCTTTCTTCCCTTTAAACACACCGTCCCCCCCCCCGTACCCCCCTTTTCTCCTTTCAGAACAACACAGGAGGATGGAGGTGACCAGCCTGGTGCAGGGATAGGGTGGGCTGGGCTGCAGTGCCCACAGAGGGGTGGACTGCAGGGTCTCTAGAGTTGAGCTCATACCTGGACCCACCTTCTCTGTGGCCTAGAGAGAGGAAGGGGCCGAGCTGGGAAGCCCCCACCCTCTCAAGGTAGCCTCCAAGGCAAGTCTGTCCTGTCCCTGCTCAAGGGCTTTGCGCCCCAGGAATGTGCCTTCACCTGCCAAAGCCTACTTGGCAGGAAGCAGGGCCTGACATCGCCACCACAGGCAGAGGCCAGACCAGCACTTAAGGAAATGGGGACACCAGTATAGACTGCATAGATCACCAGAGGCGGCCTTCCCCCTCTTGCTCTACTCATAGGATGATCAGAGAGCTGTGTCCTCTCCAGCCAGGGCAGTCTGTCTTGGGACATGGGAAGGTGAAGCCTGAGTTGATCTAAGGGTACCAGAGCAACCCCTGGAGGAGGTATCCCACACGCTAAATGGGCCATCTGCTCTCGACACCTTGGACGAGCTCTGCCTGGGCCTCAGTCTCCTCATCTGATAGAGGCAAAAGATGGGAGGTCTGCTTTGAAAAGCATGGTCCTGGGGAGGATGTGCAGCTGTGAGTGACATGCATCTCACTTTCCTCCTGACAGGGACCCTGCCACTGAGCGCACTACACCGGGGACCCCCAGTTCAGCCATGCTGGCCTGTCTGCAGAGGACCCAGAACCCCCCGGGTCAACACCTGGCCTGCCCAAGCAAGAGCCTGGAGCTGCGCAAATGTGAGTGGGCCCTTCCAGCTCCCTCCTCCCCCACCCGCTGCTCTGAGTCCACAGGGCAGGTGCCCCCCGGGAAAGCCACTCACCCCTGTGAGTCTCTACCATGATGTGGATGTGTCATGTGGCGAAGGGTGTGCTCTGTGGTTCTCTCTGCCCAGGCCCTGGTTGCCTGGCTTACCTTCATTTCATGCAGCAGCCCAGAGCAGGATTCTGCATGGGATCTGGCCCAAGGCCTCAGGGACTGGGGGATGGAGGCACACCCTTCCTTCAGGCGTGGCTTTACCACGTCAGATTAGGGTCAGACTTGGTGGCCTCCCAGGCTCTGTCTTCTGTGACCGTGGCATCAGCATCCCCCTGACCCCTGACAATTTTTCGCTATCTTGGAGCCTTCAAAAGGAAGTTTCACTGACTGTTTTTAATGGTCACCCCTTGCTCGCTCTCTCAAAAGGAAAGTTGACCAAAGTACATAGAAATGTTTAGAAATAGGGAGGTTTGCATTGACATGTTTTTCTGGTGTCTTTGAGGAGAAATCTGAGGCTCTGGTGGCACAGGCCTGGGCTGCTGCTGTAGCTATTGGTTGAGGTTGACGTCCATCTCCAGTGTACCAGTCTCTGCCTCTCCCTCCTTTGGGCTTCTGGCCTACAGCCCAGGATCATTGGCTGTTTATCATGACGCTGACGCTGTGGCTTCTTTTGAGTATTTGTTTATCTTTATACAAGGTAACATGCTTGGCCCATATTGCTGAGGAAGGAAGGGGTATGCAGATGAAAGCAGCCCATGGGTCAGCATCCTGTGTGGCCCCCCAGGAGATGTTTAATGGGTGTCCCAGCAGACATGTGTCCATGCTTACGTTACACAGTCCTGCCCCTCACTTTGTCACTTTAAAATAAATCCCCTATGCCAGTTTCTAGAGACTGTGCTCTTACCACCTGGCTGGCCCTAGCAAGGATGAACCATAATTTATGTGAACAGTCCCTCTAAGTTGAGACTGTACCCAACCTGTTGCTCTTACAAGCCCTGCAGCAGTGAACCCTGTCTGTGTCACAGTGTGTGGAGAAACTGCAGGCTGTCTCTCTAGAAGTAGAAGTTCTGGGTCAAAGATGTGTGCATTGTAATCTTCATTGATGTAAGCCCAACCTCTTGAGAGAGACATGCCACCACACGGGGGGGGGGGGGGGGGCAGAGGGTCTGCTCCCCACACAGATGCTGTCACACCATGCTCTGCTTACCTGAGCAGAGAGAACAGGACCACGGTCATCTTTGTTTAAAATGACTGAGTTTGAGCATCTTTTCTCGTGTAAACCATTTGTTTTTTCTTTGAATAATCTACTTCTGTGGTCCTTTTTTTTTTTTCCAATTGGGTAGAATTTGTCTCTTATTGACTTGGAGGAGCTGTTTGTATGTGATGGAATTTAGACCTCTGTCTGTCATGAACTGCATAGATTTTTCCCAGTTTGTTTGCTTGTCCTTTGGTTCTGCCATTGGAGGAATTTTAGTTGGTGAGATTTCTCAGTATTTTTTTTCTGGCCTTTAGATTTTTTGCACCATACTTAGAAAGTATTTCCTCAGGCTGATATATTTTTTAACTGTTCAGGATAGTTTTAAAAAAATTGTATTGTTGGTACAGGGAAGGTGGCTCAGTGGTAGAGCGCTTGCCTTGCATGCAGGAGGCCCTGGGTTCGATTCCTCAGCACCACATAAACAAAAAGAAAAAAGCCGGAAGTGGCGCTGTGGCTCAAGTGGTAGAGCACTAGCCTTGAGCGGAAGAGCTGAGAGACAGCGCCCAGGCCCAGAGTTCAGGCCCCACGACCGGACCCAAAAAAAAAATTGTATTGTTATTATAAAGGTGATATACAGAGGAGTTACATTTCTTTTTGGATAATATCATCCCTTCCCTTGTTCTTTTTTGTTGTTGTTGGTGGTGGTTGTGGGCCTGAACTCAGCCTGGGCACTGTCAGCTCTTCAGCTCAAGGCTAGCGCTCTACCACTTGAGCCACAGTGCCACTTCCAGCTTTTTCTGCTTATGTGGTGCTGAGGAATCGAACCCAGGGCCTCATGCATGCAAGGCAAGCACTCTACCACTGAGCCACCTTCCCAGCCCTCCCTTACTCTTCTTTTTTGGGGGGGGATGCGGGGGGAGCTTGAACTCTGGATCTGGGCGCTGTCCCTCAGCTCTTCGGCTCAAGGCTATCGCTCTACCACTTGAGCCACAGCGCCACTTCCAGTTTTCTGGTGGTTGATTGGCGATAAGCGTTTTAGGGTCTTTCTTGCCTGGGCTGGCTTTGAACCTTGATCCTCAGATCTCAGACTCCTGAATACCTAGAATTACAGGCGTGAGCCACCGGCGCCTGGCCCTTACTCCTCTTTAAGGAAAAAATTCCCCTAGGGATTAATCCAGTTCTCTTTATGGTTTTTAAAAACACATATATGATTTGTATATTTCTAAAGGTTTCTCCAGCTTTTTAAATTCTTTTTTTTTCAGTCATGGGGCCCGAACTCTGGGCCTGGGCACTGTCCCTCAGCTTTTCAGCTCAAGGCTAGCACTCTACCACTTGAGCCACAGTGCCACTTCTGGCTTTTTCTGCTTATGTGGTGCTGAGGAATTGAACCCAGGGCCTCATGCATGCAAGGCAAGCACTCTACCACTGAGCCACCTTCCCAGCATCTCTCCAGCTTTTTATGTATCTTAAAACTATGATTTCAGTTTTGTAATTTTTCTGGCATATGGTGTGAGGTGGGCCTGGAACTTCAGATCTTCCTGCCTAAGCTTCCTAAGTGTGGGATTATAGGCATGGGCCACCACATCCTAGCCTGTTTCAATTATTGTAGTGTTACAATGCGTTTAGAAAATGTAATGGCTTTTGAGTTATAATTTGCATACCAGCAACCCATTACAAGTATTAATAATGATTTACAGTAGATTCACAAACAGTGCAGCTGTCACTACAGTTTTACACATACACACACACATATATATTTATATATGGATATGGATGTATGTATTTTTTTTGCCATGGCCTCATGCTTTTGCTTGGCTTTCTTTCTTGGCTAATATTTTTGCACTGGAACCATGCCTCCAGCCAAGTTTTTTTTTTCTTTTTGGTCAGTCATGGGGTTGAAGTCAGGGTCTGGGTACTATCCCTAAACTCTTTCACTCAAGGCTAACACTCTACCATTTTGAGTCACAGCGCCACTTCTGGTTTTCTAGGGTTTAATTGGACATAAGCATCTCAGGGACCTTACTACCTGGGCTGGCTTTGAACCCCAGTCCTCAGATCTCAGCCTCTTGAATAGCTAGGATTACAGGCATGAGCCACTGGCACCTGGCAGCAGCCCAGCTTTTTGCTAGTTGGTTGGAGATGAGTCTCTTGGACTTTGTACAGTCCAGGCTGGTCTCAAACCACGATCATCAGACCTCAGCATCCTGAGAAGCATAAGCCACTGTCACCTAGCACGATGGTCAGTTTTCACAAGCAGCAGCCCATGTCCGTTGACACAGCCCCTTTCTTCTCTGTAGGTTTCTCACGTCTGGACTGCTGTCAGCATGTTTGTCAAGGCTCATTTGTATTGTAGCATGTTTCTATACTGGATGGAGCTTCTTCCTTCCGCATCCCAAAACACTCTTGGCTGCTTTGTATTTTGCCATCTGCACTATAGAATCGTCTTACCTAGATAAGACCGAAAATCTCACTTATGGTTTTGTTTTGTTTTTACGGGGTTTGTATTACACTTACAGATGAATCTAGAACCTAGGAAGATATCTCATTTTCTTGTTTTTCTTTTTGTTGTTTGTTGTGGGGCTTGAACTCAGGGCTTGGGCACTGTCCCTGAGCCTCTTTGTGCTCAACTCTAGCACTCTACTACCTGAGCCACAGCTCCACTTCTGGTTTTTGAGTGGCTAATTGGAGATTACAGTCTCATGGGGACTTTTCTTCCCCAGTCTGGCTTCAAACTGTGATCCTTAGCTCTCAGCCTCTTAAGTAGCTAGGATGACAGGTGTGAGCACCAGTGCCCGGTGTCAGACTTCCTTTTGTGTCCCTCAGGAACATCTTAACATTCATTTAAGTCTTGCATGTTTTGGGTTAAGTTCACTTCTAGGCAGCTGAGCTAGTTTTGGTAAGTGTTTTCTTCTGTAAATGGAGGTTGTCTCTATGAAGGCTATTAACTTCTGCACCTCACTGAGTTCTTTTATTGTCTTTAAATGGTTTTTTTTATTTTGTCTCGGGTTTTCCAGTTATCACTGCAAAGGATAATTTTCTCTCCTACTTTGTTTTATACCTTAATTTTTTTTTTGTTAATAGAGTAGGCTACTGTCCTTGGAACAATGAAAATAATAGTGGTGATAATAGCTTCTATATTTTTCCATTAAGGAAATGCTGGCTTTGGGGCAGGTGTTTTATTGGGTTACATAAGTCTCCATCTGTTCTTGTTTTATTAAGGAGGATGTTGACCTTGACCAAATTACTTTCTAGTGTTTATGAAAAGAAGTATATGGTTTCTTTCCTACAATCCCTTAATATGAATGACAATAGATTCCTTTGTATTGAACCATCTTTGCATTCTTGATTGAACCCCACTGAGATATGGGGCATGACTTCCTGAATTTTCTGTTATTTTCTATAGAATTTTTGTTCCAATTTCATCAGAAAGATGGTTCTTTTCTTTTTTTAGAAATTTATTAATTTAGGACTGGGAATGTAGTTTAGGATTACAGGCGTGAGCCACTGGTGCCTGGACTTACTTTGTTTTTAACAAAGGAATCAGCTAAATATACAAGTCTGACTAACTCTAGTCTCTTCACCAGTCATTCTTTCTCAAGTAAATTCCTCCCCCCAAATGGGAGCCCAGGCAGCATCTCAGATGACAACATGACAACATGCTTCTGTAGATGACCAATGTGCTTCGGCACATATAGAAGTGCACTGTGGCAACTTTCCATGTGTGTTCAAGAGTAGAGGCTTGGGGGGCTGAGAAGGTGGCTCAGTGGTAGAGTGCTTGCCAAA